AAGACTCGCTCTGTTGCTCAGGCTGGAGTGCAGTGGCGTGATCTCAGCTCACTGCAACCTCCACCTCCTGGGTTCAAGCAATTCTCCTGCCTCAGCCACCTGAGTAGTTGGATTACAGGCGTGAGCCACAACGCTGGCTAACTTCTGTATTTTTAGTAGAGATGGGGTTTCAACATCTTGGCCAGGCTGGTCTTGAACTCCTGACCTCATGATCTGCCCGCCTCGGCCTCCCAAAGTGCTGGGATTACAGGCATAAACCACTGCACCTGGCCTCACCTACATTCTTGATTATGGTTTAAGTTTAGGCAACTGTATTTACATCCCAAAACAGCCCCATCCAGGGTGCTACAGCCGTAGAGAACATTCACTTAGTTTGCAAACAGGGCTGGTTACCACCCCTGGGTGGAAATATATCAATGTATATCAACTCCAGTGTTTTCACTTATTCTTAGAAGGTACTATTGGGGGGCAGAGGGTAGGGGGAGTAACAGGAATAGCTCTAATCTACAGCATAAATTCTATTTGAACTGACTTATTAAGGTGAAGATTTTTAATGGAGGACTATAGGCTTTTCTAGAATTATGACCATAATCCTAAAAATACCAGTGTAAAAACTTACTTCTTCATCCTTCCAGGCTCAGCTCCCTCATGTCAAAGTCCACGCCTACTTTGCCCCCGTCACCCCACCAACAGCAGTGGCAGGAAGTGGACAGCGACTGTGCAGGTGCTGTGTCATTCTCTGACAGCAGCTGCCTGAGCCCAAGGGGTGATGAGGCATCCTTTCCTCTAGAAGACGTGAGTCTTCCTGACCTACTCCACCATCACCCAATCTGTTGATTCTCCATTGGGAAAGGCATTTACAGGTAAAAGACTTCTGTATGGATTGCAGTAACTCTGGTGATAGTTTTCACCTTTATTCTGCTGTGAATCAATCAAAGCCTTGTGTCAGTTAACACATGGCAAGTGGTCTCAATGCAGCCAGGACCATGCCAGAAACCTGGATCTCTTAAGAGATGGGTACCTACCTAGGTACTAAAGCCCTACCCTTGGCATTCTCAGCATTCCTCAAGCAGACCATCAGTGTTAGCACAAACTGAGCAGAAAAAATAAGCTGTTGATTTTCTACCTGATACTTAAGCCAGTGGCCTACTTTAATTCACAATTCCATTTTGATTAGCAGGACTTTTCCACTTTGAAGATAAAATAGCAACTTTATCAAAGTGACTGTACTGCAAATTCCTAATGCCTGATAGTTTTATATGTAGAGACTTACGTGGAAGGCATGTTAATAGGTTTACATGAGACACCAAAGAAAAGAAGACTCTATACTGGGTGGAGCAGGGTCTTCACCTTTGTTTGTCAACTTGTCATATACACCTCCAGGGACCAAAAACAAAAGCAGCTCAGAGTCTGTGTTGCCTGACAGGAAAGTAGAAGCTCTGGTGTGTGCTACAGCACATCACGCATTTTTATTAAAGGAAAAAAGCTAATTATGTCCACGCCTCTCTAAAACTGGGGGGACCTTAAAGAAAAAGAATTAGGCTTAAGTTAACTGTAATATAATCAATTAAAAGTAATGAATGGATGCATGTAAAATGGATGTGATTCTTGTTTTTCAAGTTTATTTTGAAATCTTAGAAATCAGGTTACATCATAACTACTCAAAAGTTTTACAAACTTAAAACTCAGATCAGTAAGTGTTGGTACCTTTTAGACTCATAAAATTGAATAAACCATTGCAATGCTTTAAAAAAAATTAAGTCAGAGGGTTTTATTGCTATGATTTTATGGCAGACACATCCAAGGAAAACCATTTTCCAAATTCACACCTTCCTGATGTTATCTGAAATCTGTAAGATGATCCTACTCTTTACTGTGGTTGATTCTTGCTCCATGCTGTCCACATTTATGATCTTTATTAAGAACCTATCGTCACCTTCATTGTGAACGTAGGTGTTCATGGTGGCCAGCCCTTCCTAACAACCACTCCCCCAAACTGAAGGGCCAGGAGCTCATGAGAAACTTAAGTGAAACAGCATAGGCAAGACATTTCCCCATGACTAGCAATACCTTTATTAGATACAAAGTTTTATAAGTATTTTTAAGGATCAGCTGCATTCTAGGCAAAGAAAGCAGATATATTTATCTTCCCATAGATGGACTTGGCAAGATTATCAGAGTAAGCATTAAAGTCATTTTATTGCCTTATGATATTTTCCAGTATTCCTTGGTCCAAAAATTGTGTGGATACCATAGCAGTTACTTAAATATACATTTATACCCACTGCTGTAGAGGAGATTGGGGAGGAGGACTGATGCAGGAAGCAACTTCAGTAAATAAGCATATAACAGACTTGCTTCAGTGATTATGAATTAAGAGTTTCGTTTAAAAAATTAACAAGGCTAGGCGCGCGGTGGCTCACACCTGTAATCCCAGCACTTTGGGAAGCCAAGGTGGGTGGATCACTTGAGGTCAGGAGTTCGAGACCAGCCTGGCCAACATAGTCAAACCCCATCATCTCTACTAAAAATACAAAAATTAGCCAGGCGTGGTGGCATGTGCCTGTAACTCCAGCTACTCGGGAGGCAGAGGTTGCAGTGAGACAAGATTGTGCCATTGCACTCCAGGCCCAGGCAACAACAGTGAGACTGTCTCAAAAAAAAAAAAAAAAAAAATTAAATGACCAGAGTCTTCTATACACAATTTCTTTTGAGCCAGGATACAACCTATCACAGCTATTGGACTCAATGCTCAATGACTCATGGCCTCATTTACAAAACAGGAGAACGTCTTGTAAGAATATCAGGTTTGCTTCCTTTTAAAGTTTGGAAGAGTTACTGGAATAAAAATCCTCAGTTGCATCAGCTTTGAGAAAATAAACTGAAAAGGCAAAAACTATGTGCCTAACCTCTTATTACATTTACACTAGCACAGAACACACAGGGAAACCCCTTGATTCTATTACATAAAGTGACACTAGCAGGAACTGGGCTTTTAAATGAGACACACATTTGCAAAACAATCAATCAGAAAACATTTATTATCCTGAAATGTGTACATCCTACTATTAAAAAAACAAAGTAACAAATTTGCTGGTGCCATAATTTATTTTGCCTGTTTCACTGGGAAAAACTCATGTTCAATGCCACTCAGTATAATTTCAAGTTTGATAAACATCTTTTTACCCCGCTTCTAAAACCTGATGAAGAATTCAAAATAAGCACACAGCATTAAATGACATTTATTGTTCCATAAATCTTGAGATCCGAAAAGGAATGCTAAATAGACAAGCAAAACTTCTTTTAAAACAAGAGATAAACTCACTTCTTTCCCCAGTGACTGGTACAGAAAACATGTGGTCACACAAAAGCAAAGGGAAAAAGTCAGAAAGGAAAGCTCTCTGCCTATAGGGTCTATTAGAGTTAGATATTTTCAAACTGAAGATGAAAGCAGACCGTGCTTCTCTGTGGCAAATAATTAACCCCCTTTATGAATAAAACATAAAATGTCAAAGCTTTTACCCACCAAAGTAATTTGTCTTCTAGGAGAGATTTCAAACTCAAAATTACTCATTTCCTATTTTTGCCTGAACAAAGATGAGGATCAAATAGTACATTCAAATCAGGACATCTGGGTATATGGACAGAGAGATGCTACAATTAAAATGGAGTAGAAGTTTTAAAAAAAATTCAGTCCCCTACACCACAGGCCTCAAACATGCTTGCTGATGGATTTTGGGAAAGTTCTGGATGAAGGACATAGACACAGGAGGAAAGTGAGAAAACAGTGGATTCCCTTTGAAAAGTATGCTAGCAGACAAGCATTTGGTTTTATTAAAGAGGCACTCTTTTTATAAAGAAAGAAGCTATAACGTGGTGTATAAAAAGCCCCTAAATAATCACCAGCATGTCTATCCATGATTGTACTAAAGCTCAATATTTGAGGAGAGGCTTAAGGGATTTGGATGGTACATTTTAGTGTTTGACAGATAACATCTAGTGTTTCCATGAAAAAATTTCATCTTGTTCATAATGAAGATCCCTTAACACCTAGTCAGAAGCTATCAACAACAATACTTTCTCCCCCTACTTGGGTCACCTATTTCCAATGTCTGGGGTAGGGCTTTAAAGGGATGGTGGGGGTGGGGAGTTAGGGTGAGGTGGGGGGTGGTAGTCAGAGATGGAGAGAGGGAAGAAAACGAGAGAAAAACCACATGAGTTTAAAAGGCAAAGAATCTCCAAAAATGAAAACCAGAAACTAAAATGCTAAAAATTGAAGCAGAAGCAAAAAAGTTTTTCAATAAATCTGTGACAAAGCCAAAACACAAAAGTCTTTGTACCTATTAGGATTTACACTGATCCTCTCACCAAGGTACTCCTGATAATGCAGTTTGCTTCAAGCCCATCTTCCTGGCTTGGATCTTCTCCGATCTGGCATGATCACATCAAACGTACACCCTTAGACATGATTTCTTCCAAGAAGGTGCCAAGCCTCTTACCTGACCACCAATGGCTGCATCAGCACAACACCTCTCTCCGCATACAGATTCACTGCTGGCTCCACAACAGCGCTGTCCCCCCCATCTCCTCTCCAGGTCAGCATAAGGTTCAGGCAATAAAAGCCAAACTGGCACAGAAAGGTAAATGCCCACATAAGTTTTTACATTCATTTCCAAACCGCATACAGTGTAAAAAGACAGCAAAGGCTGCTTCTAGGAACTGTATTTACTGGCCTCTGCCAGAGAAGTAGGCAGCTATGCCTGCACCGTGGCCTCCAGAGCTGGATGCATGCTGTGCCGATGTGCTCACTCTCACGAGAATGCTTGGCTATGGCAGTGACAGTGAGGAGATTCACCTCTCATACAGCTCATTAGAAAGATCATCTTGTGTTTTCAATATGAAACATTTCATATGGTAAAATCCAATCCCAAGACTTCTTGGATTCAGTCTTCACACACTTGTAAGCGTGACTATTTGGTACTGAATATAGTTCAGTCTATATAAGACATCACTTCAAAATTATGTGGATGCCATCACTATTTTCAGCTGCAGAAAAGGGAAAGAAATTATTTCTTCAGTCAGGCTTAGGAAATTAAGCCTATTAAATAGAAAACTCCCTGCAAACTACAACCTCCCTTCCCAATTCAGAGGTTACCTTTAAATGATTCTAGAGAAACAAGCAGATTAACTTGCTCTAGCTCCTCTTCCCCCAAAAAACTTCACGTACACATTCCCTTTCTAGACATTCTGCGCTTTTCACGCCTGGCCCACTATCAAAGCCCCTGCCTCCAACACTGTCTGCCAGTACTGGGGATGGGGGGAAATCTATCAAGACAAACAATAGTAATGCTGTCCAAAAGGCAAACAAGAGCTAGGGGCAGAACAGGTGAAAACACTGTGTCAGGGCAGAGGACCTGAAGGAGTAAATGCAAATATGTACATCTGTCTTTTCCAGAAAAATGTCTGAGCTACTGAGAGATTTCAAACATTTAAAAAATGTATCATTCCAGGCCGGGCATGGTAGCTCACGCCTGTAATTCCAGCACTTTGGGAGGCCGAGGTAGGTGGATCACAAGGTCAGGAGTTCAAGACCAGCCTGACCACTATGGTGAAACCCTGTTTCTACTAAAAATACAAAAATTAGCCGGGTGTGGTGGCGGGCGCCCGTAGTCCCAGCTACTAGGGAGGCTGAGGCAGGAGAATCACCTGAACCCAGGAGCTGGAGGTTGCAGTGAGCAGAGATGGTGCCACTGCACTCCAGCCTGGGCGACGGAGTGAGACTCCACCTCAAAAAATAAACAAAAAAATAAAAGAAGTATCATTCCTTTTGCCAAGTGTCTCTCAGTAAATAGAAGCATACAGGCATTCATTTAGAAAAAAAAAAAAAAAATTTCTCATGAGGTCAAAGTTTGAAGAAAAATAAACAGTAAATTGAGATTAGAGAAGAGATCCTATGATTTCTTAACACCAGAAAATGTCCACTGGTTTTACAAAACAAACCTATACAATTATATGTTTTCTTTTTCAGACAGTGTGAGTTATGCAGGGTAAAACAGTACTGCTGTGAGAACAAAAGATTGAGCAGAAGGGTACTAAGCTAAAGATGTTTCTGAAAGTAAAAGAATGACCCAGTCCAGAGTTAAAACTCCGCCTTGCAGGAAACCTTGATGGCATATGCAACATGTGAGACACAAAGTAAGATCAGTATTTCAGTAGTTTTGGGACACTTGACATACATGACATCTTCCTCTTCTAGGGGCAGCTTTTGTGCTAAGACTGGGTTTGGATCTTGGCTCACCTGACTTTTAAAACAGTCTATGAATGTATGATCTCTTCTCAATGAATTTTACATTTAAGAATCCCTTCTCTTGAATGTTGGAGCCACCTGCACCTGGTCCTGGCTCTTCTCACACTTTCTCCCCTAAATGACCTTAACAACTTCTACAGCTTTAAGTCACTGTCAGATATGCTGAAGACTTCAAATTTACAACTCAAGGGCAAGCCTGCCTCTGAGCCCCCAAACTGGTAGTCAGCTGCCTACTTGACATTTATACACATCCAAAATGAAACTCTTGGTTGCTTCACCCCAACCATACTTACTTCTTCAGTGAAATCACCATCTGCCCAGTTACTTTCCAAAGAAAAACAGGAGTCAGAACTATTCCTCCCTCAAACGTGGAGCCCACCAGGCCCTGTCTGATCTGTAAGATACACCACCTTTCACCCGGATATCTCCTGCCTCCAGTTCTGCCACCTTCTCATCTATCTCCAGAGTTGTGACAGTGAAAGAAAAATCTAGTCATATGACCACTCCTTTGTTTAAACACTTCGGTGACATCCCAATGCATTTCAAGTAAATCCAAACTACCATCATCATCCAGTCCTGCATGCCAGACCCAGCCTCCTGCTTTAACTCCACGCTGATCTGCTCACCCTCACACACTGCATGGCAGCTACACGGCCCACTGCCAGAATTTAAAAGAAGCCAACTGTTTTCCTTGCACACAACCCCATATTGCTTGGGGATGCTACTCCTGTGGCCAGCTCCTGTTCCTTCTCGTTCTTCAAGTCTCAGGATTAATGACACCTCCTCAGGGAAGCCTTGCCTTACAGTTTCACAGTGCCCCCAACCCAGATCTCCCTTATCCATAAGTACCCCACACTTTCCTGTTCCTTCATAGCACTTAACATATTGGTAATTTTGTGGATCTCTTGGCCAATTTTGTTTTGCTTTCCCCAAAAGGAGTTTCATGGATTGTTTTATTCAAGAGCTATTGAGTGACAGAAGCATAGTGTCTGACACAAAGTGCTCACTAAGATGTTGGCTGAATGAACTGAGATTTTTTTCCCTGTCATCTAGAAAGACTGACTCGTCTCTTCCTTATTTGCTAATTTCTATTACAAGTACTAAAAATATTCTTAATTTCTCAAACTTTCTTCTTAAAATGAGTAAAGCCATTTTAAAGAATAAACACACAAGAGGCACTAATTAGAGGCACACACAGTCTCTCACGATTCCAGCATTTTAAGACACACATACATGCAAAGTACCTTTTACGGTGGAGAATAAAAAACAACTCTCATCTTGAAAGTTCTGAACCATCTAGAAGGATAAAGTAAATATGTAAGTACAATTAAGATCCAAGTGTCGTTTCTTAACTAGAAATGATTTTAAAATAGTAAATATTCTTCTCACACAAACACAGGACTCAATGGTCAAAACAATAATTCATGAAGGCAGAGTGAGGTAGCAGAGATGCACACGTGCTGCTCTGCCCTGTGTGCACTGCACCATACCAGCCCATAATGGTCCCTGAGCGACCTTGGCTGGTCACCTGTGTGACCCACAGCGGCACATTCCCTGCCGGCTCCTATGGATGATGACTCTAACAAAAATTGCATGAAGTGCTCTTCTACTATTACTTGCTTGCCACCAAACACTAGGGGAAAAATTATGTATCTAATCTTACATGTTTTTAAAAATTAGTCATCAAATAATAGACAAAAGGAAAACCCATCCAATGACTCACCTCATAAAAAGGGCTGAAGCCTGCCACTATCCCTAGAGTCCCCCAGTGACTGGCTACATCCTAAAGGGCTGGGAGAAGGCTAAGCCAGTTTTCCTTGGCTTGTATTCCGTATTATCACTAGGATGCCTGAAACTTTTGGTTATAAATTCTTCCAAAGTGATTCCCAACTCTCTGAAAATGATTCTCTTAAGTATTTTCAAAAGAGGTCACAGAATTTTTCTACAGTTCTACAATTACATGTATAAAAGTAAATAGCAGTGTGAAAAGGAAAAGCAAATGAGCATGCCTATTTGATTTACCTGATCACTAACAAGAATGTGAATACCAGTGGGACCCTGTCTGTAAACCTGATTAATTTGATGGAAAGGAATATTAAACACCAGCGCAAGTTTTCGAGCGACTTCTGAGGCTATCATTTCTTCCAAGTAGATTGCATGATAAACTGAAATTAAAAGAAAAAAAAAGAACAGCATTTTAACAGAATCTTTGATCTGTTTTCTACCTGATCTGTACGCTCTGTAGAAAAATCAAACCTTTCAAAGTACCAAAAAAAAAAAAAATTGTTTTTAATGAGAATAAACTATTTCTTTCCCCATTTTACTACACTGAAATCTTGAACTACCAATTTAAAATGTAAGAATACATTATTTATAACCGCAAATATAATTTAATAAAAACTAGCAGAAATCCCTGGACAAAAAGATTTGAGGTTTGAGTTTTTCTTTATTCATATTTTTTTGCAATGAATATAGTTTCATGTATTCAAAGTTTAAAAACAGGAATTGGCTGCAAATGGACCTGGGGGATCTTCCTGAAGTAATGGGACTCAAATTGGATTTTGACAATGGCTGAAAAACTCTGTAAATTTGCTAAAATATCATTATATACTTAAGAGGACTTTATGGTATGTAAATTATGCCTAAAGAAAGCTGTTTTTAAAAATAATATATATTTCATGTATTTCTGGCAGTATACAAAAAGAACCCTAAAAGAGTCACAGTTCTTTTGTTTTTTTGAGACAGTCCCTCTCTGTTGCCCAGGCTGGAGTGCAGTGACACAATCGCAGCTCCCTGTAGCCTCTGCCTCCCAGGCTGAAGGAATCCTCCCACCTCAGCCTCCTAAGTAGCTAGGACTATGGTGGTGGCACACGCCACCACGCCTGGCTAATTTTTTTATTATTATTATCTGTAGAGACAAGGTTTCACCATGTTATCCATTATCCAGGCTGTCTCAAATTCCTGGGCTCACACAATCGACCCTGTTAAGCCTCCCAAAGTGCTGGGATTACAGTCATGAGCCATCACGCCCAGATAAACATTATAGTTTTTGATCCAGTAATCCTACTACTAGGAATTTATCCTAAGGAATAAAAGCTATCTGTATATGCCCCTCCCCCACAAAAATTTAAACAATATAAAAGATACTATATGAAAAGGCTAAGAATATAAACAATGGAGCGTGATGCTTCCTTGCAGAAAGCCCCAGTCACATTCCATCCAGTGTTCTGCATTTTTGCTACACAGATCTTTTCAGCAGACATCTGCACAGTGCACATCTGTAGTGAGTCTCACTCTTGTAGGTCCTGCTCAATTACTGATTAAAGCCAGACATGAATCAGGAATATCACTACTGAGAACTGTGCTTCCCCAAACAAGGGGTTTGTGGGCATAGAAACCCAGATTTTACATTACATAAAACTGAGAAGTTGGAACTAAAATTACAGCAAGACTGTAGATATGATCTAGAACAGGGATCATCAAACCACAGCCCAGATGGACCAATTCCTGCCCTCTACTTATTTTTTTTTTAAATAAAGTTTTACTGGAACAGCCTTATCTACATTTACATACTGTCTATGGCTATTTTAGCACTGCAATCACAGAGTTGAAGGTGAGAAACCCTATGTATGGTCTAAAGAGATGGAAATATTTACTACTTGACCTTTTACAGAAAAAGTTTGCTGACCCCTGATTATGGGGAAATCTCCATTATTTTCCCACATCCCTCCACAAACACTCATGTTTGAGGATACACCTTCCAAAATATTATAATGTTGACCATATGTAAATGAAATATAAGATCCTGATGATATACGTGGAGAGCTCCTTTAAATTTTTATCCTATAAGAATTTGTATAATCTCAAAATTCAGAGCTTTTGAAGTCAAAATGATACCAAATAGAAAAGTTCATATAGTGATGATATCCTTCCAATTTTTCAGTAAAATTCAAACCACAAAATACTTTTCAGAGCTCCACCTACTATTAGGGCAAATAACTGCATCTCCAAATTCCATTAACCCATCTTTTTTTGAAAAATTCTGAGCGTGTTGCCTTTGTTCTACTTCAGAGTATAGAAAGAAGGAAATATTACCATATATCCATGCTATAAATGAGAAAACATATGCCTTTTAAAATGTTTGCTTTCTTTAAGGGTCATATTTACAGGCAAGAGGAGGGAGGGGCCAGATTTTTTATCTCTGTCCTAATCTAGCACTATACTACAATTAAATCCTCAGGATGAGAAGCCCTCCCAAGATAATGTACTGTGTGTTATTTACAATGACATAAAGACAAAGCACCAGACTTGCCACACACAAGGTGCAAAGTGCTGGCCAAACACTTGTCGGTGACAAGTCCACACACTTAGAGACTATTACATACATACACTATACACTGTTGCACATATGTGGTGTTTTAAGAGTTTTCCCCACCCCTAGTCAGGAAAATGGAAAAAAAAAAAAAAGGAAAGAAAAACCCTCTGCTTTTTGTTAAGCTGCCAGTGTTATAGTCATCATTTCAGTAAGTCTGATATTTAAAAAAAAAAAAAAAAAAGGCCAGAAAAGATCTCAATCCGTTCAAGCTAGTTTTTCACTTGTTAGATATTTCCGGCATGAGGGGCCACATGAAAAAAGAGACCCTCAGTGTGGCTGAAATAACCGAGAAAGAATGCCAGTTTCCTCTTCTCCCAAGGACGTGGCCCTAGAGCTGCCACCTCTCATTACTGTCAAGGCTCCCACAAGAGCAACTTGGCATTCCTAACACAGCAAGAGTTCTCCAAAGCCTGCTCCATCAAGTCCTTCCCATTTCTGTCTGACAATCTCAGAGAAGAAGTGACAGAATCGATATGCCCTCCATACCTACCATAGGGTGCCCCACTGCCATTCTCGCTTGCACTGCCTGCAGCTTGCTGCTGCCCTTGCAGCACTGTGCTGCTTGGCTGCTCCCGGCAGACATAGATGGTTAAACGGGGCCTAACCGACCTGCAATCAGAAGATGCCACTGATAAGCCTGGGAGAGAAAGCTGCCTTACCACACGTACAAATATGACAACTACAGGAATCTAAGTTCTATTTCCTTACGAGAACTTTATAATGTTATTTCGTTATACAAAATAATTTACTAATAAAAATATAAAAACCACACACCTCACACCAACTATCACAGGTGGTCTAATATGATGATCCAGACTCTAAACCATTGAGATGGTCTGTCAGATGCTGGTAAATTTAAGTTTCAAGATTAAGTCAGCAAATTAAAAATCAGTAAGATTCAATTTTAATGGAATTCTCACACCACAAGTATAGAAAGAGCAATAATAATAAATGGTTCTTACAAGCCAGCACAATTTACATTTTCTGTCATTTTAATTCACAATTAGTTTACATTTTTAACAACTGTTTAGTAATAGTCATGACCTTGAAAACCATAGATTCTGTATAGCTCACCTAAATTAGAAGTTTTGTTTTCTTGGCAACAAACCCAGTCGTCTTCAAGAAATCAGTACTGCCCATGTGCATTTCTACCAGTCTTACAGTCTACCTCTGCCCTCATCAGTGCCTGCATCATATCTGGGCCTGCCCTGAAGGTGTACACAAAACAGTCTTCTTGTGAGCACAATGCTGCCGATGCTCGACGGCGCACACAGGCACACACGCCAACCTAGCGTGGAAACACATTCTGCCCAAATTCCCACACGAAGGAAGGTACATTCTTATTTCAAGCAAAACAGTTCACAGTATTTTACCTTGACTTCAGTGAATTATAGAGCCGAATTCCATCGGCTGCACCACAAATTTGAACTAAATCCTCCTTTGTCAGTTTTAATAAGTCGGCACCTAGAGAAGAGTAAATATATCTTTCTCAAATAAATGGAAAAAGAACAGAACTGCTTTACAGGCATCTGTCATCATGCAGTCCAATGTCCTTCAAAATAATCCCAGGTATCCTGAATATACACATATACATGAACAATACAAGAAGATACACAGACATCTGTCCTTCAGAGCCAAGGAAAATGCTGACTCTTCCATGTCCTGTATCAAGAAAGTGCTTAGAAGTCTAGAGGCCGGTGAATCAAATCAATGACAGCAGGGCCTATAGAAATCTTCCAAATACAGGATTTCACTCGTCTACCTTATTTAGTGGCTGGATTGGGATGTGTGAAGAAACGTTTCTGACTCACTCCACAGAAACAAACCCTGATATCACCCAGGCTAGTCAATCTTTTTTTACAAAAAAGGAAATGGGAGTCCAGAGTTTATGGGACTTGACAAAAGTCTGTAACGGATGGTAGCCGAACTAGGACTGGGCCTCTTTATACTGAAACATACAATGTAAAGTCAAACATTCTATAACATAAACAACACTGTCACAGCAGCCAGTTTTAACAGAAGAATGGTGGAGAATCACTCATTATACCCTAAGATTTCCCCAAGCACATCTTACTTACCATGTCATTTAAAAGTGTGAATGTCTCTCTATACAGGTTTCCTACAGCACCACCTAGAGAAGCAGTGCTTGACACTTTTAAAAATTCTATCTAAAACTCCCTACACTTACTATACAAGAAAAAAAAAACTTACACATTAAGTATATAAAAGCCATATCTGAGTGCATACACATGAAATAATACTCAGTATTTCAAGTGTAAATGATATGGCATCTAGGATTTGCTCTGAAATACAAGCCAAGGCAGAAGAGGAAATGGTGGAGAGCAAGACTGACCAAATGCTGATGGCTTCTGAAGCTAGGAGATGGCTGCATGGGAGTTCATCATATTCTCTCTACTTTTTAATGTCTGAATGTTTCCATAATCTTTGTTATATTCTCTTACTAACAGCAAGGATGCAGTTTATTGTGGGAATTAAGATGACCTTTGGGATGAAGGCATGACTTCCATATGATAAATATCTACTTACATATGTAAGAAGATAATGGAGTCATCTATTTTTAAAGGCTGAAATGTGACAGCCTACTAAATTGCTAGTCTGTAAAACAAAGATCAGAGAAGCACATCTTCCATGAGACATGAGCATTAATAGTCATTTTATAGAGTCAGGTAAGCAGAGAGGCTCTCTTTCATTTCTCTACTAGGGCTTAGTATACGCACCTCACAGTTGTGACCAGAGAGTACTGTGTATGTGTGTACACACCCTTAACCCATACGGAGAACTGGACAGATAACTGCATGTACAGCCCTTCCTGAAATATGAATGCCCACAAAGATCAGAGTAAGAAGCCTCACTCTCCTCACCATGCTACTGTCAGTGCTGTGACTCATGAAATGTACCCAAAGGGTACCATGGCTACCTCCTCACTTACTTTCTTGGAAGAAGCCCCCAGGATAAGGAAAAGGGAGAAAGTCACGCCATGTGGACACTGATCACAGTAAAAAGGGCTTAAAACTCACCAGATAAGCCGGGCGCGGTGGCTCAAGCCTGTAATCCCAGCACTTTGGGAGGCCGAGGCGGGTGGATCACAAGGTCAAGAGATCGAGACCATCCTGGTCAACATGGTGAAACCCCGTCTCTACTAAAACTACAAAAAATTAGCTGGGCATGGTGGCACGTGCCTGTAATCCCAGCTACATAGGAGGCTGAGGCAGGAGAATTGCCTGAACCCAGGAGGCGGAGGTTGCGGTGAGCCGAGATCGCGCCATTGCACTCCAGCCTGGGTAACAAGAGCGAAACTCCGTCTCAAAAAAAAAAAAAAAAAAAAAAAAAAAACTCACCAGATAGAAACACGGATCTGCCTAATGTAACAGGAGCAATGTGGGGCCTCCCTCAGTTCCAAATGTCAGTGCTTTTTCTATGTGCTATGCTTTTCATCTGCCTTCCATACAACAGTGCAAGACAAACCCCAGCTCCCCAACCCTGAAATTTTATAATTTCTAGTTTTTCATCCATAAAAAGTTTTACTTAATCATATAGAAATGTAGTCCCCAGCTAGCAAATGACTTCCATCTGGAACTATAATTTTAAAGAGACAACTACATGGGAAATACCTATTCATTGCATAAACACTACCATGGCACAGTAAGAAACCATGTTCTTTGTGAAATCAAGCTTTCCTTCAGGCTGAGTGTGTGTACACACAAGTTCTGTCCTCTTAAAAGATTCACAAAGTTGTGTTTTCCTGGCCCTACTGCACTGCAGGTGAAGGAAGCTAACTACCACTTTACTGTGATCCGGCATGTCTCAGGATGTTTGGCCAGGACATGTTACTAGGTGGTCGTGATGGAAAGGAGTCCCAGAGTCAAATATATTTGGGAAATGCTCCCTTTGCCCCACATGTCATTATCTATTACTGTCCCTCTAAGCAAGTTTTCTATAGCACCACCTGAAGAAGCAGTGCTTGCTTGGTACCTTTTAAATTTTTTCTAAACATTCCTTTAGCTTACTGTGCAAGAAAAAAAAACTTACATGTAAGTATATAAAAACCATAATTGAGTACACTCAGACTACAAAATACTACTTAGCAATAAAAAGGATTAAACTACTGATATACACAACAACTTAGGTGGCCATTATGCTAGTGAAAATAAAGCCAATCTCAAAAGATTATATACTGTATGATTGCATTTATATAAGACTCATTACAAAATCACAGAGACAGAATATAAAGTGGTTGCCAGGGATTAGGGATGGTGGGGGAAAAGAGAGAGAGAGTGAGTGTGCGTGTCTCTCTCTCTCTCTCTCTCTCTCTCTCTCTCTAACGGGGTAGCAGGAAGGGGACCCTTGTAGTTATGGCATAATTCTGTATCCTAACTGTGGTGGTGGTTACACAAATCTATACCGTAACATACATTGTGCCAATGTCAATTTCCTGGTTTTGCTACTGTACTAAAATTAGGTGAGAAATGGAGTGAAGAGTATACCAAAACATCACTGTACTAACTCTGTAACTTACTATAAAACACAAATTATTTCAAAATAGGTTAAAATTTTAAAAATACGTAGAACTGTATACACATACACACAAATGAGTACACGTAAGTCTGGTAAAACTCTTGACTGAACCAACATCAACTGTCTAGCTTTAATAGTATTTGATAAAAATACAAGATATTCCTATTGGGGGATAGATATACAGAACTTTCCTGTACATTTTTCTTTGCAACTTCATATCTATAGTTATTTCAAAATTTTTAAAAATATGGTTAATAAAAGCACGGAAACAAAACCCAAACATTCTCATGCACACATACATACACACACACATACCTGAAAAATTAGAAAACACTCTTGTGTAGGAAGAGAATCTGTTTTTGAGCAGCCATTGCTGTGTTTCCTGGATTGTAGCTGAAGGCTGAATTTGCTATTGACAATGAAAATGAACATAAATAAAAGGAAGCTTTCAAACTTAGAATACTTAAACAAAGCACAGAAAGACTCAGAGTTTGAAGTAAAAAACACCCAAAAACAGCATGAGTCTCACTACTCAGCAACCCAAATAATAACGCAAGCCCTTGTCAGCAACTTAAACATGATACACAATGAGCCATAAAAAAGAAAATGAAATCATTCTGCTGCTAATGAAATCATCATTTGTAGCAACATGGACAACATGAACATTTCATTGTCTTAAGTGAAATAAGCCAGGCACAGGAAGACTTATATTCTTACTTATATGTGGGAGCTAAAAAATTTGAACACATGAAGGAGGAGAGTGGAAAAACAGGTAACAGAGACTGGGAAGAATGGGTGGAGGATAAGGGAGAGGATAAGAAGAACTGGACTAAAGGGTACAAGCAAACATACAATAAAATAGAAGGAGTAAATTCAATATTTGATAGCAGAGTAGAATGACTATACCTTAAAAAATGTACTCTACTCAGGTGACAGACATCCTAAATATCCTGACTTGATTACCACACATTATATACATGTCAAAAAATTTCTTGCATACTCCATAAATTTGCACAAAAAACAAAATTTTAAAATGTAGAAACCTGAAAGCATCAGACAGATTTAGTAGAAAGACACTTACTTCACCAGAGACCTGTGTAGCTCCATCTCCCTGATGATTTGGGGAAGAAGAATTGCTGGGGAGAAAGGAGAAAGAAGGAAATGATTTGTATAATACATATATGTTTAAATCAAGGCATTAAAAGTTGTTAAACTATGCAAATTCAAGTAAGGCAATAATGTGGGAGAAAGCTATGAAAGTCTGCAGCAAAAATGCAAGTGCAACAGGTTAGGGTGTGGGCATGATGACAAGATTAAGACACAGAAGACAGTGTCTTAATTTGTGCCTTCTTCTTATCTGTTCTATTGAGAAATTCAAGTTTTGTTAAACAAAAGGCTTCCCCAATTATCTTCAGGAATCCCAAGGAAAATGAAGGATACACATTCATTTTTAAAAGTTAGGGGAAAAAACATGAACATCAAATTAAACAGTTGAAAATAATTGCAAAAAAAAAAAAAAAAGTCTCTGTAACAATTCTAAGCTTCACCAAGACAGATCCTGCTGTGGCCAATGCCTAGTTCTAACCTGTTAACAGCAGAGAGAGACAAAAAAAAAAAAAATGAGCTACAAGAAATATTATAATGATCCTAAGCAAAAATATAAAATGATACTCCTTTAAGTAATACATATATCCAAGATTAAAGAGGATGAATTTCAAGAGAACAAAAGAAACTATCTTGTGCCACTATCCTTGTGCTTCTAAGTAAAATGTAATGAAAAACAACTCCACAGGGAATAGGGCTACCTTCTGGCTCTTGATCACCTTTCTTAGCACCCATGCCCCAATTGCTTAGGTTTATTATCTTGATTGTTTATATCCTTTCTATCCATGAGAACTTAAGCTCCTTTGGACAGGGGTCTGTCTGCTTGGTCACTTATGTTGCGCAACACTTAGAAAAGTACTGGGAACACAGTGAGTTCTCCAGTCTACTAGTGAGTACATAAACTTACAACTCACCTTTAAAGCCATAATCATTTTCTAAGATTATTCAGACTGGACTGACTAGGAAATTATTCTAAGCCCTCAGACATGGTAACCTTCTGGTCCTTGGTCACTCCTCTAAGTTTCTGAGTCCAAGGGTATTTTCTTACTCTTAAAGCATAATAGCCAGGCCCGGCGCAGTGGCTCATGCCAGTAATCCCAGCATTTTGGGAGGCTGAGGTGGGTGGATCACAAGGTCAAGAGATCGACATCCTGGCCAACATGGTGAAACCCCGTCTCTACTAAAAAATACAAAAATTAGCTGGGCCTGGTGGCGTGCGCCTGTAGTCCCAACTACTAGGGAGGCTGAAGCAGGAGAATTGCTTGAACCCAGGAGGCGGGTACAGTAAGCTGAGATTGCGCCACTGTACTCCAACCTGGCGCCTGGCAACAGAGTAAGACTCTGTCTCAAAAAAAAAAGAAAAGAAAAAGAAAAAAAACCATAATAGCCTATGTAACAAGAAGCTGCCTTCTCAGTTTATCTATCCATCTCCTCAGAGAAAGAGAGAGAGAGAGAGCACATTTTTTGCTTGCTTTCTCATCAGACCTTGTCAGCATGACTGGACAACCTCTTCCTTTGTGGTATTGAGCTTTCATAATTTTCCTTCCCAACAAGAAACTTCCTAAAAATAGGGAACTTTGATGTGAACTACTCTGCATTAGTTCTGCAGCACAGCCCTGGAATGGAACGCCTCCACGGGGTACCACTGCACCGTCAAGATGCCCCAAATGTAGTCTCCTCCTCCCACCCTGAGCTCACTAGATAGACTCTTGCCAGTCAAGGCTGGATAACAGAATAAACAGAGCCCACCATTTCCATTTCTAAAACCACAGCAAATCTGCAGAAATTGAAAGGTCTTCCTTTAATTTTAAAGATTCAATTTAAAAAATAGTATATCTGTTGGGAGAGAAAAGAAATAGAGCAGAAAACCCATTTGATATGATAAGCATTACAGACACATGAACGAACTTAGTAATAAACTCCCTTGGTCCTTCTCTCTTTACCTGTAGACACTATTAATGTTGTCTTTAATCTCACAAAGAATGTATCTTGGCTATATCTTGAAAATGACCCCTTGTCTACAATAGTTATGAAGATGTAAAGCACAAGGGGCTAGGAGTAAAAATGGCTGGTAGGTGAAGAAGAGACAATGATTGTCCTCTGCCACAGAGGTACAAGCTACTTCCCATTACTATTTTCTTCAGGTACAATACAAACAAAAGGCTGCTGTACATGGAGAGATGGGGAAATGAAGGCGCATGAACATTAGTTAGCTGCAGGCACACGATCATGCAAACTAGATACCTGTCCGGGACACTGCAAGTGCTCTGCTGTGGGGAGGTGAAAGTGGGTGCTGGGGAAGGGCTGTTATTCACATAGGCTGTGGGGGCATCAGGCCACGGAGAACACTAAAGACAGAAACAGAAATAAATTAATGATATGCTTTTAAAATATGTGGAAGAAATATTTTTGTAATTTACTCACTAGCCAAATGCAAGATTATAAAATGCAAGACACCTGACATTTATCAAGTAACCTCACAGACACGTCAGATTTACTTCTGTGTGGCAAAGAAAAGTTTTACCTGCTGTGTGCGTCTAGACACTGATTAATCTTAGAGAAGACCTAAAGTGGACAGCAGCAAAAATTTATAAAGGCATTTAAAATATATGTTTAAGTATAATTTGCTTTCGAGAACTTTCTCCTCCCTCTTTACCAGTATCCTCTTTATCACTTTCCCAACAGACACCTATCAAGATTTAAGAATGGCGAAGAGAAGAAAGGATTTATAAGCAACATCTGACATCACATGGTGACCTGAACCATGGCTCTGACCTAGCTAGTGCTTTTTGTCCTCTTCCCTACTGAGTAGCCTCACCAGTACCCATGTCGCTTCTCTGATACCTCTAAAGAGTAATAATTCTCAAGACAGACCAGACAGGCCCAGCATCAAGCTACATCAACTATGTACAGTATTTCCTCTATCTACCTATCTATGTTTTATATTTTCTGGAAGGGTTATGATGAACTTTAATATTTTTCAGTTCCAGGCAAAATTCCAACCAGAAACGGAACAAAGACATGGAGATACACTAAGTATTACAATTAGGAGAGTTGAAAAAGTCAAAGTCAAAAGCATGCTAAGCACACCAGGGTAATCTCAAATACAAGTCTTCAGACCTGAGATAAAGACATCACATGATATGATTTCACTCTACAGGTATTCTTTCTAAAAACCAATGGATCTGAGGACTCGGTTTCAAGGGTCCCCTTTCAGAACATCCTCCTCTCATTTTACACAAGAAAGGCATCACATCTAACCATAGCCCTGGGTATAAGACTCTCCCAGGCTGGACATGGTGACTCAACGCCACTAATCCCAATACTTTGGAAGGCTAAGGTGGGAGGATAGCTTGAGCCCAGGAGTTAAAAGACCAGCCTGGGCAATATAGTGAGACTCTGTTTCTACCAAAAATATTAAAGTAATAAATATAATGAAGAAAGACTCTCCCAAAGCCAAGCTAAAGATACTAAGATTTAAAAAAAAAAATAGCCAGGTGTGGTAGTACACACCTGTAGTCATAGCCACTTGGAAGGCTAAGACAGGAGAATCGCGTGAACCCAGGAAGGGGAGGCTGCAGTGAGCCATGACTGTACCACTGCACTCCAGCTTGGGCAACAGAGTGAGACCCCCCCCTTTCCAAATAAAATAAATAAAATGAAAAAAAGAAAGAAAAAGTACGTAACTCTAATGACTGAGTTTTTCTGTAAGTTAGGTAGGTGATTTTCAATTCTTTGCTTTCAAAATAATTCAGGAGGACCTACTGTCAACTGACATACACTGAAATAATATACTAGATCATACAAAAATGGCCCTGGGATTTTTGACAGACAATTCAAAAAGACTTTCAGGACCTGAATGACACTGCTGAAGAAAAATTAAACCAAAATTTCTCACATCTATAAAATTCTAGAAGTTACGTTCTACTCTGCCTCCTCATTCGAGATGCATTTCCGATAACATTTCTATTTTTACATTTAATAAATATTCATCAAAATCTCTATGATTTGCTGTTTTGATAAATTGGTATTAATAAGTTAAATTTATTGACTGACTTAAGAGACAATGGCCACAGGAAATTTTAAAAATTAAATTTCAATTTATGTAAATTTGTTGTAAGGTAATTTTTTTAGGTGATCATTTAAAAATTTCAGTTAGGCCATTTGAAGACTCAAAAAATATAAATAAAAAAATTTCTAAAGATTTTCAGGTATAAAAGTATGTCATATTAGGATAAAATTTAAGAGGAATGAAATAGAAACATGAGACCAAGAAGGAAGAACGGAGTAGAATTTTGGATGTAGTGAACTTTTTGAATGAAGAATGGCAGTGGTCAAATTGCTAAGGCATTTAGATTCCATAGGATGCACTTCAAGAGTAATGAAACAGTTGTATCTTAAATTATAAATGCAAACTGCCACCATGCCAGAAAATTGCTTCCTTTGTAACTATTTAAATTTATAATGAAAATTTTTTATGATGAAAACTTTCAGATGTCAATTTGGTAAGGTGTAAGCATATCCTTTTTCAAAATTATTTTGAGGCCAGGCATTGGTGTCTCATGCCTGTAATCCCAGCACTTTGGAAGGTCAAGGTGGGAGGGTCATTCTGAGGCCAGGAATTGGAGATCAGCCTGAGGAACACAGCAAGAACTGTCTCAACAAAAACAAAATTTAAAAAGTAGTCAGGCGTGGTGGTGTGCACCTGTAGTCCCAGCTACTGAGGAGGCTGAGGTGGGAGGATCATTTGAGCCAAGGAGTTTGAGGCTGCAATAAGCTTTGATCACACCACTGCATTCCAGGCCCAGGTGACTAGACAAGACACTCTCTAAAAAAATTTAAAGACTATTTTGAGTAGGTAGGTGTCAAGACCACTGGTATAATGGAGCTAAAAAACTGTGAAGCACTCTGAGGGCAGAAATTAAGTCTCACCAATGGTTACAGGGGCTTAAAACACTTGCCTGACATTCATCAAAAGCAATGGATAAATGGAAAATAATCTCAACTACCCAATTATGTATCCCCTTAAAAATGAGAAAAATGATTGCGGACTTACTATTTCTATTATCAGTCAACTTTCAAAAAGTAAGTCTAATCTAGCTGGAGAGCTTTGATAAACTTATTGCATGGCATACCAACTTCACTATAAATGACATTTTACAGAGCAATGCCCATTCTTTTAAAATTAGGGCCTTTTAGGCCGAGTGTGATGGCACACACACACCTGTAGTCCAACTACTCAGGAGTCTGAGGCAGGAGGACTGCTTGAGGAGTTTGAGGCCAGCCTGGGCAACACAGTAAGAGCCCATCTCAAAAAAAACAAAAAGACAAAAAAACTAGACCCTTGTTTTGCATTCCATCTTACAAAATAGCATGTCTTCAGTTTACACTGTTTGATGAACCCAAGACCCTGTGAGCTGACAAGCAAATCTAATCATGGGTATCACACACTGTCACCTCATCTCTACTATCTGAAAGCTTTTCCTGCTACAACATCCCCCTCCACATATAAAATATTATAACACAGTATAACATATACATCTAAATAATGTAACCATTTAATATTAAAAGTATCAAGTCTCTCTAAACTTTTGGTGATTACTGCCAGCCAGAAATGAAGCCATCGAAAAGCTTCAAGTTAGCATGGCAGAGTAAGGTGGAAACATCAAGTTTACCAAAATTCCATAAATACCCATTTCGCTTTTAGATATTTAGATTCTTCTAACATTCAAAAAATAGTCCTATTAAAACTAAGCAATGGTGCAGCGCATATGCTCCTGAAGATACAGTGTAATTCATAACGGCACTAGCAATGCCTGGCCTGGGTATAGTTGTTTCAGTACACTGTGAACACAGTCCCTCCCCTGGTAGATTAAAGAATGATCACCCATTTTAGGCTGTAGAAATTGGCAGTCATTGTTTGAGCCAATCACATACAGCTCAGAGATGAAGACCAACAGACACAGTAAGTGTTTTGTTCATCTCCTGGTAAGCAACAGTAGTGACTATTCAGTCTGGGACCATTTAATTTGGCATATCTTCAACTCTAACAATAAGTCTGGATATCCCTTCTTACTGAAAGCCAATTGTAACTAGCCAAAAACTCTACGAAATGTTGGTCTTCCTTTGTAGGAATCTGAAGAAACATATGAAATACTGCAAACTTTCTTTTGTAAGGGATCAATCTGTCCCCTGCTTTTTTAAAAACAGGTTTTCAACATGAGCTCTAACCACCCCTAGAAGCATCTGAACAAAATCAAAGACTGCCAGGGCAGCAAGCAATACACTAGGAAGATGTGAAATCCCAGGCCAGTGAACTGCTGACGTTTTGCATACTTTAGACTTAAGAATCATTAAGAATTCACCAACAACTTTCCCATCTTCAGATTATCTCTGGGCTATAATGAATTTTTTTTATTTAGGAATTACCAAAACCCACTTCTTTATCAATTAAATGGTTTATAACAGGAGGGGAAAAGTGAGTTATTAAAATCCCCCCAAAGAAGTTTACTAAGAACCATTGATGGGTCTTCAGCTGGGAAATCAGAAAAGGATAAAAACAAAATTGCTGCAGTGGGTGTTTTAGGAAAGAAAATACAGCTATTTTAACAATCCTTGATTTAAGAAAAAAAAAAAAGCCCAGTTAAAGAAAAAGTAACATGTGTGCTTCCAGTGGCACTGAGATGAGTACAGTTTCAGTTTCACTGCATAGAGAAGCATGAAAACATTTTTATTCAAGACTGTAATTTGAAAATGAGTTTCTTGTGATAATGCTTGTGACAGCAACATTCAAAGTCTACATTTAACCACAGTAATTGTGATATGTGTAAGAGTGAAAAATCCTCTGGCAACCTTAATAGTACAAACATTGCAACAATGAATACGGTAGTCATGAATACATATGACGACAATTATTTTAAATGACTAACATTCTGTGTTTGTATTTACTGAAGGTATGTAGCTGATCTAAGTTTGCAAAACAGGATCATCCTTTGTGGACTCTTCATCTGAAGAGTCATGCCATGAAATAAAGATTTGCTATACTTAACCTGACAAAGCACATACTCAACTAGATGCCCCCTGACTGCATGTTGGGGGGATCCAGGTCTAAGTGTAGCAAGGTACACTACTTTGGCCTGAAGCATTCATTCACAATGCAAGTGCCAAGAAGAAACATGAATGCCATCAGAGATTTTTTTCTACCAGTGCTGCCAAACAGGCTTTTAGAAGCACAGACAGACATACATTCTTATGCTACATGCAGAAAAATGTGACAAAGAACTGCACATGTTAATGTCAAGCTTGCTGCCATTATTTCTCTGTCCACAAAACTTTCTTATCAAGTATACACACGAGAAGGCAAAACTCTTTTCAATTACACAAAAATAATAGCTAATTTACTAAAGAAAGTATTTTCAATTAATTTCAGTGCTCTTGAAGGAGGTATGTGTGTGAAGGAGAGAGGAAGGGAAGGAGGAAGGGAAGGAGTCAGGGAGGGAATGCATATCTCTCTGAGTGTCTCTTTTTTTCCCTCCAAAACCACCCAATATGGTCAACATTGTTTTTGCTTTGTTTTAAAGTGTTAGATTTAGGAAATTTTCCTCAGTGAGGAACAAACAGAAGCAGGAAGTCTAAACAAAAGCAAATTAAATCAAGACATGGACATCGAAAACAATTTTGGCTTTACTTTGCGGTAGAAGTTGGTCCTATATCTAACACTGCACAAGGTTTCTTGCACAATGAAAAGAGAAGCAGAAGTCCCTTACACTGCCTCGCTTTGCCAGAGAATCACCGTAGTCTGCTGGCAAAGTCCGCTTGCTGGACTTTTTCTGCTCATGTTCAACTGCATCTTCAATTATAGGCTCAAGCCTCATCTGGACAAACACCAAAGATTGGGATCAATGTCTTTTCATTATACAAAGAAAGATCTAATACCCTGTTTCATGTCTCTGCAGTCCAATTAAACAAATGCATGACTAAGAGGAGTCAAAATTAAAGAAAATGCAAAACCCCAGCAGTGATAAAAATTGGACATTCTAGGCCCCAACTTAAGTCTCTTGCCAACTGCAAAGTTTTTAAGGTCTGTTTCAAAGACCTCATTGGGATTTCAGCATCTTCATTTAAGATCCCACCCAGGAAACAGTCTATCAAATCCCCAAATTTAAGTATTTTCCCCACAAATTTCACAGAGAATATCATGTCAAACTGCCACCCCATCTTCCCCAACCCTTTTGTAACAAAACGCATCTTAGAAATAGACTAATATGCAAACCTTTGCTTCTCTTCCAAAACCAAATGCTTTATGTATTACATTACCTCTGTGAGGATAGTGGTATCATAAGACGGCTGATACTTTTCTTTTTCATGAGCTGTTCTCTTTTCCATCTTCTCTCTGTCAGTTTTTTGTTTCCTGTCTGCACCTTTAGGCTTAAAAACAAATGATATTATGTCATCCAGCAGGCTGTAGACACACAGCTTTACAGGCCTTAATTACTGAAAACCCGGGTTCCCTCTCTTACCTTAAAAACTTTTATTTGGCAGCTAGCTGAGTGTAGATGATCTGTGTATTCCCCATTTTCATTCTGCTTAAAGGTGTCAACCTGGATCCTAAAGGGCACTCCCTTTTCACCTCCGTGCTTCCGTGGAGTAAATTCTGTGCTGATGCAGTGCACCTATAAAACGATTCAAGCTGAAATGGATTCAAAGACCTTCCACTGATTATTTTTTGATTTTGTTCCCTCTTGGGTGACCTGCCACCACTATATATTAAATTCAAGATCCTTTAAAATGAACTCATCACACATATTACCCAAATCATCTACTATGACCTTCTCTAATTGTTTTTAAGATATGGCTTCCCTTTCACATATCCAACTGAGCCTTTCTGAGCTCCTGCCCAACACAATGCCTCTCATTTAATGCAGGACTTGCTTCAATCTGGGATACAACACTACAGTAGCTTCCCATGTATACTGCCTACCTCCACCTCGGACTGCCTGCTAATCTAAGACCCAGGGTCGTAAGCCCTGTTCAATCCACAGCAATCTTCATCTCATTATTTAGAGATGTTTGTTTGCCCTCTACTGCTGTTGTTTGCCCTCTACTGCCATTATCCCTGCTCTACCCAGCCAACCATCTTACTGCCATTCCTACAGACACCAATTTGTGATACTTTGCCTGGGGAAATTTCACAGTCCAGAAAGCCTACTACTCATCCTATCTGTATCCACCTAAAATCTATGGTTAACTCTTCAAAGTCCATTCAGGATGCAGAGGGCAATACTCATTTCTACCACTTCTGCCCTATCTCCTAAAACCCACCCTGGATGACAGCCTTAGGGTTTCACAAAGAGTTACTCGTAAGACTTTGGTTATTTCTGACTGCTACACATTCCCTCTTCTAATGATTATTAAAACTGATCTCTGCAATATAACAACACAACCTGAGATGTAAAGCCAGATCTTGTATCACTTTGATTTACTACATAACTAGTTGCCTTATAGACAAAAACCAACAGTATGAGTTTATATCAATATTCAGCTGATATAAACCATGCCTCTAGTGATTATTAATTGATGGAGCATAATACTTGGTAGAACACCAAAATGCAAAATACAAATTATTATTATTATTATTATTTTTTTTTTTTTTTGAGACGGAGTTTCACTCATGTTACCCAGGCTGGAGTGCAATGGCGCGATCTCGGCTCACCCGCCTCCTGGGTTCAGGCAATTCTCCTGCCCAGCCTCCTGAGTAGCTGGGATTACAGGCACGCACCACCATGCGCAGCTAATTTTTTGTAGTTTTAGTAGAGACGGGGTTTCACCATGTTGACCAGGATGGTCTCGATCTCTTGACCTCGTGATCCACCCGCCTCGGCCTCCCAAAGTGCTGGGATTACAGGCTTGAGCCACCGCGCCCAGCCTACAAATTATTTTTTACAGTTCATGCAAAGCATAGCTGATGTAGGCTGTTCAGCAAGTAAGTGGTTTTCCTCTTACCTGGTAATTTAAATTCTACCACATACAAATTTGAACATACTGGGTATTAGAATTACTATTTTTGTTAACATACAATAATGATATTATCATTACTTTTTAAAAATCATCTCTTAAAGACATGTTTATGGATGAAATGGTATGTCTGAAACTTGCTTTAATGTACTCCAGTAGGCCGGGCATGGTGGCTCACACCTGTAATCCCAGCACTTTAGGAGGACAAGGCAGGCAGATCACTTGAGGTCAGGAGTTCAAGACCAGCCTGACTAACATGGTAAAACCCCTGTCTCTACTAAAAATACAAAAATTAACTGGGCATTGTGGTGCACACCTGTAATCCCAGCTACTCGGAGGCTGAGGGATGAGAATTGCTTGAACCTGGGAGGCGGAAGCTGCAGTAAGCGGAGGTCATGCCACTGCACTCCAGCCCAGGTGACAGAACGAAACTCATCTCAAAAAGAAAAAGTACTCCAACAATAACTAAAAGAAGAAGGAAACAGCTAAAAACTGCTAAAGCCAGGTGATGGTTACATGGACAATTAATCGTCATTATTATTCTATTTGTGGAAGTTTGAATTTTTCAGTATTAGAATGTTTTTAAAATAACACTACAGGGAATTTTAAAACTTCAATCTTTTTTCAATCATATCCTTTTGAATGGCAGCTTTTGTTCAAGAGAAATACACCTCATGAAAAATAGTCATTTTTATTAGTGGGACTACTAGTGGTAAAAATAACATTTGAATAATGCTTTACATATCATAGAATGTCTTCACATATGTCAGTCTATAATAGGATGAACTTACTAGATTAAACCTAACTATGTATATAGACAGACACCACAACACAGTTTACAGATAAGCATTTAAGGGAAATGATACCAGGTCAAAAATTCGATCCTGCCATGACCTACATAACTAGGTTAGCATGCTTTTAATAATGTAAAAATCCAAACCTGAATGAAAGCAGAGGTGCGTTTTGCTGGGTCCCACAGAAATTCAACCGCATTTAACTGGCTTGGATTTGTCCTTGTGTCAATTATTCCCACAGACATTGGAATATCTATGTTTTAAAAAGAAGTTACATAAAAACTCATACACTTTAAATAACTTAAAAACTTACAACTTTACTATGTTATGTTCTAATGAAACAATTGTAACTACTTTGAACTTTGTCCTTCAATGGCCTCCATAATCAACTTCAATATCAAAACCCACCGAAATGAGTATCATAGTTTCTCCTACCATGGTTTATATTTCATGTTATTAAGAATATGATAAAACCAGGCACGGGGGCTCACACCTGTAATCCCAGCACTTTGGGAGGCCAAGGCAGGCGGATCACCTGAGGTCAGGAGTTTGAGACCCACTTGGACAACATGCTGAAACCCCGCCTCTACTAAAAATACAAAAATTAGCTGGACGCAGTGGTGCATGCCTATAATCCCAGCTACTCGGAAGGCTGAGGCACGAGCATCGCTTGAACCTGGGAGGTGGAGGTTGCAGTGAGCCGACTGCGCCACTACACTCCAGCCTGGGCAACAGAGTGAGATTCCTTCTCAAAAAAAGAATATGATCGATGGTACCAGTTGAGAATTAAATGGTTTCGAAATCATAAAATTCCGGGTTCGTGTTAGTTTAGCACCAAAAAGTTACTTGACTTTTTAACTAGAAAACAACTTTCTCGGTTCTTTATAATACAAGGATGGGGAAAAAAAGAAAAAGAAAAAATATATACTTACATACATGCGTGTGTGTGTGTGTGTGTGTGTGTGTGTGTGTGTGTGTGTGTACAAAAACAACTCCCAAGGCACAAGATCCTAAAACTTTCCCCACACAAGTAATAACACATGATGCCAACACAACACATTACTGGGCTTGGCTAAACAATATCCTCATCTCCATGGTCTTCTGATCACCACCTGTACCTAAATCAAGAAGTCTGTCTCCTGGGCGATTCCACTTCCATCCTTCAAGTTGCTGATGCTCTGTGTATTGTAGCCGTCTGTCATGGAATACAACCCTTATGATGCTCTGTAGAATAAGTGGGGGAAAAGAGTATTTTTAAACTGCTCCAGCTGAAATGCAGAAGCATTTCCACTATTTATGTGCTAACCTGTAGCAGTAGAGCATATACAAGCAGATTCTGTTTTAAACATTCCGTAAGTGAACTCTTCTGCCCTCAAATACCTAGATTACTGTACAATTATTTGGTGCAAAGAGTTATAACTTAAAAATTAAAATCATAAATGACTACTTAGGTATTGATTTTATAAAGTAACTTGTTACTGCAATTCAGCAATCTTGCCCCAAAAATCAATGAGTGAAATTTCTATTCCTATAAAGAAAATGCCAAATGCATACAAGAGTTATTAAAAATGAAAAAACAGACCGAGAAACCCAGGCACAATGGTAAAACTTTATTAATTTAAAATAGTAGTTAACTACTGAGTTTTTAAGAAAAGAACTGGCACACACAAAAATCCAAAACACTGCCTGCTCCCTTGAAAAAGAGAACTTATATATGCAAAATTCATTCTCAACTATTTAATCTGCAAGTAAGATTATCTGAAGTATCTGAGGGGGAAAAATAATCACAGGTAAATTTGATCCAAGCACTCATTTCACTCTATTCTACAACTTCTAGACAAATTATCTGCTCTCCACCCCTGCCTACTTCACTTCCTACAGGTTTGGAGTACCAAATACTGTCTCATTCCAGGAACGGTATAACAAGTCATCAAAATGCATTCAGATAGGCCAGGCACAGTGACTCATGCCTATAATCCCAGCACTTGGGGAGGCTGAGGTAGGTGGATCACTTGAGGTCAGGAGTTCAAGACCAACCTGGCAAACATGGTAAAATCCCGTCTCTACTAAAAACACAAAAATTAGCTGGGCATGGTGGCATATGCCTGTAATCCCAGTTGAGGCAGGAGAATCACTTGAACCTGGGAGGCGGAAGTTGCAGTGAGCAAGATCACGCCACTGTACTCCAGCCTAGGTGAGAGAGCAAGACTTCATCTAAAAAAAAAATACATTCAGATATCAGACTTGTACTAATGCTTCTGAAACATTTATAAATAACTTTCTGAGACTATGATACAGTTAATATTTTCATTGAGTCTCTGCTGGCTTGAACAGGAAATTATTTGTTAACAATATATAAAAATATGACTTTAGTACCCTGCTTCCCCCACCCCTCAAATACTATCCATAGCTGATAAGTATGTTGAAGGGGCAGTCAATTAAAAGTAGAATATTTTTCTTTGAAACAGTTTTAAAAAGAGGCTAATGTGAGAGAAATTTGTAGGACTCATATTATCTTTTACTTTTAGAGAGGCTTATAGTTTTTTGTTGTGGTGGTAAGTTTTTTACCCCATAACTGCAACTAACTTTTCTACTGCTCCTTGATTTCCAACGTCTGTCACAATTATTCTACCTGATAACTGCCATAATTCCCACTTTACAGGTGAATAAACAAAATATAGCTCAAAAAGTTAAAAAGTTTTAATACAACAATTTTTGAAGTGAAATTAATTTTTTTAAAACAAATACAGTATCTGTTGGGAATTAAAATGGATTGTCCTTACCTTTACTAATTTTCCACTGATCTCAGGCATATCACCCATTTTCCGATTATCTAGCATCCGAATTTCGTAAGACTGACCTATTCAAAGAAATTGTGTATAAAAAATGATCCATATAAAGAACATCACTTTGCTTAACATAATTCATAATGCATCTTTCTCAGAACATACATTACACAATGATATTTGTTAATTTGCTAAAGAAGCAAATTCAGGTTGATCGTTCTCTTCCCTGAAAATCACACCAACCTTCTGTTTTTACATTATTACAGAAGACAAGAGTTTCTCTGTCAATTTATCTTCATCTGCCATTCTCTTACACTAAATTTTTATGCCTGCATTATCTAAGACTAATTTTTCTAACAGCTTTTCTGAGATACAGTTTACATACCATAAAATTCGTATTTTAAAAAAGTGTGTAATTCATTAGTTTTCAGTATAGTCAGTTTCCATTGCAACCATCACCACTACCACTATCCTAAGAAGAAACCTATAAACATCAGTAGTCACTTTCCATCCCCCTTCTACACCTGCCAATTGGTAGCAATCACTATCTACTTTCCATCTCTACGGATTTGCCCATCTGCATACTTTTATAAATAGAATTACACAATATGTGGGTATTTACGCCTCACTTTTAAAACTTAGCATAACGTTTTCAAGGTTCATCCATACGTAGTATGTACCAGTCCTTTTCACTACCAAATACTACTTATTCCTCTTTATTGCCTAATACTATTCCACTGTGTGAAGAACATACCAAATTTTGTTTATCCATTCATCAGTTGATGGATATTTGGGTTGTTTCCACTTACAGTGTTCATTAGAAAACACAGATATTCACATATCAATCTAGATAATTGGGAAACTGCTGCTGTAAGAAAATTAATAATGTACTCCAAATCCACAAAAATAATTTCTGGATTATCTGTTATTAAATAACAAAAATGATAGTATAATTTGGCATGCAGAAAATCAGTAAAAATTAAAGAATGCTTATAATATCACACAAAGTTGAGAATCTTTGTTACTACCAGTATCTCATTCATACTCCCATGGGGCTTACAGAAAAATATACAAAGAATTCTAGATGACAGAATCAAAATTCAACAAAGGGTTATCAAAATGCAACTACATCACTCCAAGGCTGGTGACGGAAAACAACATATATATAGTCTGTTACAAAGAAATATTGCTTACATTCATCCAACAGACAGAGAAACACTAAAAACACCTTTATGGCAGGAGACATTTTTAAAAAATTAAAGTAAGACATAGATTGGAAGAAGATATATGCAGTATATTTAACAATGGATCTAAATTCTGAAAACAGTAAGAAATAATTTTCAAAATAAAGAATATAAATTTTTTTTAAAAAATACACCATTTAGGCCAGGCACAGTGGCTCACACCTGTAATTCCAGCACTTTGTGAGGCCGAGGCGGGCGGATCACAAGGTCAAGAGATCAAGACCATCATGGCCAACTTGGTGAAACCCCATCTCTATTAAAAATACAAAAAAATTAGCTGGGCATGGTGGCACGCGCCTGTAGTCCCAGCTACTCGGGAGGCTGAGGCAGGAGAATTGCTTGGAACCCGGGAGGTGGAGGTTGCAGTGAGCCGAGGTCACGCCACTGCACTCCACCCCGGCGCCTGATGATGGAGTGAGACTCTGCCTCAAAAAAAAAAAAAAAATACACCATTTATATTTAAAATTACACTCAACTTCACAAGAATTTAGGAAATAAAAATTGACAAAAGGGTTATGCTGATTAGCAGATCAATAAGAAATATTTACTTATTACTATTTTTTTTTGACATGGAGTCTCGCTGTGTTGCTCACTGCAACCTTCACCTCCCAGGTTCAAGCAATTCTCCCTACCTCAGACTCCCGAGCAGCTAGGATTACAGGTGTCCACCACCATGCCCGGCTCATTTTTGTATTATTTTTTAGTAGAGACAGGGTTTCACCATGTTGGCCAGGCAGGACTTGAACTCCTTACCTCAGGTGATCCACCTGCCTTGGCCTCTCAAAGTGCTGGGATTACAGGCGTGAGCCACTGCACCCGGCCATAAGAAGTATTTAATTAAAAATTGAGTGGGCAAGTATGGGGGAGAAATAACCTTGAATAATGTACAGAATATAAACTAAAAGGCAATCTGGCTGCACCTGTCAACAAATTACTATACCCTTTGACTCAGAGATTCTGATTGGTCAAGACAAATTAATGTGAAACAGGGAATATCTGCAAGTGGCATTACACACAAAGGGCTAATCTCCCCAATACATAAAGAGCTCCTATAAAATTGCTAACAAATGTCCAGTATCTCTAGAGAGGAAGAGAGGAAAATAAATGAGCAAAACAAATGAACATGTGAGTTCACAAAAGAAGGAAATGCCAACGGTTCTTAAACACATTAAAAAACACTCAACTTCCATTAGAGAAATGCAAATTAAACCACACTGAAATCCTTTTTCGCCTATCAGATCAGCATAAATCCCTCAGTTTTCTGCTGTATTAGATATAAAGTGTAACAGAAAGAAGAGTTGAGGATTACTCCTGATTTTTGGTCAAAGAATTAAAGAAGAGTTGCCATTTCCTGACCTCAAAGACAGCCGGAAGCAGAAAAATCAAGAGTTGGCTGGGTGCCATAACTCACACCTGTAATCCTAGCACTCTGGGAGGCCAGGGTGGGCAGATCACTTGAGGTCAGGAGTTTCAAACCTTCCTGGTCAATACGGTGAAACCCTGTCTCTACTAAAAATACAAAAAAATTAGCCAGGCATGGTGGTGGGCACCTGTAATCCCAGCTACTCGGGAGGCTGCCGCAGGAGAATCACTTGAACCTAGGAGGCAGAGGTTGCAGTGAGCCGAGATCGTATCACTGCCCTCCAGCCTGGGTGACAGAGCAAGATTCCATCTCAAAAAAAAAAAAAAAAAAAATCAAGAGTTAACTGAATATATTAAGTCTGACTGAGATACTTATAGGATATCCAAGTTAATAATCAAGCTGATTTATAAATCTAGAGCTACAAGAAAGAGTATGGTTGGAGATATAATGAAGGGCTCTTCAGGGTACAGTTGTTAGATAAACCCATTTAAAGACAGGATCACCTAAGCAGTGAGTGTAAAGAGAAAAGGGCCAAAGCAGTCTCCTGACATGATGAGAGTAATCCAGAGGAAAGCAATCAGAGAGGTGGGAGGTGGACAAATTGCACAGGGTCCTGGAAACCCTTCCTTTCATCTGGCTACCAAGGAAGGGAAGAAAATTTGTCTCACTGGGATTTTCTTCTCATTCTCAGAATTGAAAGAAATCAGGAAGAAATCTCAATGTTTCTGTCTTCTTTTGTGCTATTTTTCGTGGCCAATCTAAGGAGGAAACATCTGTACTCTGAAGAGCCCTTCCATCTATTTCCACACATAGTTCCATCTATTTCCACACATAGATCACAAGACTTATTGCTTCTTTCTTAAAGCACTCTAAATTTTTATTCTTCTAAAATCAAAGTGGGTTTTTAGAAAAGACTCTTCTAATAAATTAACTTTAAAAAGAAAAGTCTTGCCAGGCACGGTGGCTCACACCTGTAATCCCAGCACTTTGGGAGGCGGAGGCACACAGATCACCTGAGGTCAGGAGTTCGAGACCAGCCCGACTAACAGGAAGAAACTCCGTCTCTACTAAAAATACAAAATTAGGCCAGGTGCAGTGGCTCACACTTGTAATCCCAGCACTTTGGGAGGCCAAGGCAGGCAGATCACAAGGTCAAGAGTTCGACACCAGCCTGGCCAACACAATGAAACGCTATCTCTACTAATAATGCAAAAATTAGTTGGGTGTGGTGGTGAATGCCTGTAATCCCAGCTACTTGGAAGGCTGAGGCAAGAGAATCACTTGAGCTGGGAGGCGGAGGTTGCAGTGAGCCAAGATCATGCCACTGTACACCAGCCTGGGAAACACAGCTAGACTCCATCTCAAAAACACAAAACAAAGCAAAACAAAATACTAGCCTGGTGTGGTGGTGCATGCCTGTAATCCCAGCTACTGGGGAGACTGAGGCAGGAGAATTGCTTGAACCCAAGGGGGAGAGGTTGCAGTGAGCCAAGTTTGTGCCATTGCACTCCAGCCTGGGCAACAAGAGCAAAACTTCATCTCAAAAAAAAAAAAAAGAAAGAAAGAAAAGGCTCTGTAACATTTGTAATGCTTCAAGTGGTTTCCCTATTGGAAACTATTATATTCTCTTGTTTTTTCCTGCCTCAGCCTCCTGAGTAGCTTACAGGCACGCACCACCACACTCAGCTAATCTTGTATTTTTAGTTACTCGGGAGGCTGAAGCGGGAGAATCGCTGGAACCCGAGAGGGAGAGGTTGCAGTGAGCCGAGATTGCGCCACTGCATTCCAGCCTGGCGACAGAGCGAGGCTCCATCTAAAATTAAAAAAAAAACAAACAAAACAAAGAAATAGGCACATTTTTTTTCGGTTTTGTTTTTTAATCTTAGATAGAGTCTAAAAAAACCCCACCTTATTTACTTATTTTAAAGTGATTTATTTATTTAAGAGAGAGATAAACAGGAGGAGAGAGAAAGAATCTGCTAACTCTCACAATGAATGACAGAATCCAGAAAGACAGAACCCAGGAGAGGAAAGCAGCTTCCACACTGAGTGGAAGGGAACAGAGAGAGAGATGGAGGTTAGGAGGGGAACACAGGCTTCCACGAAGGGAGTGTTCATGGAAGGGGACTCGAGAGAGAAAATCCCGGAGCGACAAAGATGGCTTCCACAAAGGAAATGTTCGTGGAAGGGGATCCAAGCATGGAGTCCCAACCCACCTTATTTCTAAACTCCTATTCTTTTTTTTTTTTTCCCCCCTGACACGGAGTTTCGCTCTTGTTACCCAGGCTGGAGTGCAATGGCGCGATCTCGGCTCACCGCAACCTCCGCCTCCTGGGTTCAGGCAATTCTCCTGCCTCAGCCTCCTGAGTAGCTGGGATTACAGGCACGCACCACCATGCCCAGCTAATTTTTTTTTGTATTTTTAGTAGAGACGGGGTTTCACCATGTTGACCAGGATGGTCTCGATCTCTTGACCTCGTGATCCACCCGCCTCGGCCTCCCACAGTGCTGGGATTACAGGCGTGAGCCACCGCGCCCGGCAACTCCTATTCTTATCATAAAACCTTAGTAACAAGAACTGAAACTAATCAGAAGGAAATCTATTATGAAAAATGAAACTAAACAAAAAAAAATTTCTGAAACATTTAATGGAATTCTTAATCCAATAAACATGCTGTTTCTAGGGCCTAAGATCTGAATTTTAATTAACATTCTTTTTATTTTTTTTTATTTTTATTTTTTTTTGAGAGTGTCTCAGTCTATTGCCCAGGTGGGAGTATAGTGGTGCAATCTCGGCTCATTGCGACCTACATCTCCCAGACTCAAGAGATTCTCATGTCTCACCCTCCCAAGCAGCTGGGATTACAGGTGTGTGCCACCATACTTGGCTAATTTTTGTATTTTTAGTAGAGACGGGGTTTCACCATGTTGGCCAGGCTGGTATCGAACTCCCAACCTCAGATGATCTGCCGGCTTTGGCCTGCCAAAGTGCTGGGATTACAGGTGTGTTAATTAACATTCTTAGCAGAGTATTCTCCAAGTAGAATTCAGCCTCCAAATGAAAATGTATTTGGGAGTAACTAGGAGAAACTCTTTTCATTTGAAGAGTTAGGGGCTGATCTAGCAGCAGCAATGCAGGCAATCTGGAGTCCGAAAGGAGGTAAGATCAAAAGTCTCACTCATTATCAGGAGGTGTGCTCAGCCCCTAGTTGTTAAGACAAAAGGCATCCTATTCCAGCCAGATCCCTGCCCAAAGGGAGAGCCAGCTACGAATTCTCCACCCATTGGTTGCTCCATGTTGGGACTACAGTTTTTACTCCACAGTAAAGTCAGGGACTTAATTCCTCTTCTTATTCAGGAGTAACCAAGCAAACACAAGTACAAGTTGCTTTTACTCAGGGGTGGGTGGGGGGGACCGAGTTTTGCTCCTGTCACCCAGGCTGGAGTACAGTGGTACGATCTAGGCTCACTGCAACCTCCACCTCCCAGGTTCAAGAGATTCTCCTGCCTCAGCTTTCCAAGTAGCTGGAACTACAGGCGTGCACCACCACGCTTGGCTAATTTTCTATTTTTAGTAGAGACTGGGTTTCTCCATTTTGGCCAGGCTGGTCTTGAACTCCTAACCTCAGGTGATCTGTCCACCTCGGCCTCCCAAAGTGCTGGAATTACAGGCATAAGCCACCGCACCCAGACTTAAACACAAATACAGTTTTTAAACTTGGTCCCTCTGTGGTTCAAAAATAATACAAAAAATGACACAAGACTTTAATACAACTAGAAAAACTTGCTCTAACTTCTACTGACAAAGTGAAGACTACACAGAATTTTATTTTTACTATTCTTTACAGCATTACATAGTGACAAATATTTTTCATCAAGAATGACCATTTCAGCTGGGCGTCACGCCTGTAATGACCATCATACCTGTAATCCCAGCACTCTGAGAAGCCATGGTGGGTGGATCACTTGAAACCAGGAGTTTGAGACCAGCCTGACCACCATGGTGAAACCCCATCTCTACTAAGAATACAAAAATTAGCCACGCATGGTGGCTTGTGCATAGTCCTAGCTACTCTGGAGGCTGAGGCAGGAGAATCGCTGGAGGCTGAGGCAGGAGAATCACTAGAGCCTGGGTAGCGGAGGTTGCAGTGAGCCAAGATTGCATCGTTGCACTCCAGGCTAGGAGACAGACTGAGATACTATCTCAAAAAATAAAATAAAATACAAAAAGAAAAGCAAGTCTAGTAAGCTGAAGATACTTTACTAGGTCTGGGTGTTTGTCTTAATAGTTTAAATTAGTAAGCTTCTATTATTCAGTAGACAAAGAGGTAGGGTGAAAAATACTAAGCAATGTCTCAGTCTGGTCCAATCCTGGTGGCACACACCTGTAGTCTCAGCTACTCAGGGGGCCTGAGGCAAGAGAATCGCTTGAGCCCAGGAGTTCAAAAACAGCCTGGGCAACATAGCGAGATCCTATCTCCAAAAAAAGAAGAAAAGAAAGAAAGAAAGGAAAGGGAAAGAAAGGAGGGAGAGAGGGAGGGAGAAAAAAGGCGAGGCCCAGTGGTTCATGCCTGTAATCCCAGAACTTGGGGAGGCCGAGGCAGGAAGATGGCTTGAGCCCAGGAGTTGGAGACTAGTGTAGGCAATGAATAGTGAGACCCGCCCCCCATCTCTAACAAAATTTTTTTTTAAAAAATTAGCCAGGTATGGTGGCCTGTGCCTATAGTCAGAGCTACTCAGGAGTCTAGGGTGGGAGGATCACTTTAGCTTGGGAGGTCACAGCTGCAATCAGCCATGATTGTGCCACTACACTCAAGTGTGGTTGACAGAGCAAGACCAAAAAGAGGGAAATGGGAGGGAGGGGAAGAGGGAGAGGAGAAAGGAGGGAGAAAGGGGGGAAGAGAAAGGGAGCAGAGAGCGAAAGGAAGGAAGGGGAAGGAAGGAAATATACACATACAGAAAATTTTAAAACTAGTTTAAGAATTTATGGAAAATCTTGGGTTTAAAACTTTTGGTCAAGATGATAAATGCTAGGATTTAATGACAGAAAAATAAACACTACATACTTTTAAGTGAACAAATGTATAATTCTAATTTTTTGAAAGAAAATGTACATACAGGCAAGAAACTGACCAAAAATGTGAGTCAATTTTCAGCATTATCCCTTCACATATTTCCCAGTTTTTCTACAATGAGCATAAAACAGTAAAAATGTTCAAAAAAAATTTTTAAATCAGAATTCAATGTGCTTTCAATATATGTATCCAACAAATTAATCCCTGCATTCCAAGTACTTTTGTTTACAGTGATAAGTCACATCAGCCTGCGCCCAAACTCCAAACAGCAATCTCTCCTCTTTCCAAAGATAAACTCAGCTGGGTGTGGCAGATGGATCACCTGAGGTCAGGAGTTCAAGATCAGCCTAGTCAACATGGTGAAACCCTGTTTACTAAAAATACAAAAAATTAGCTGGGCATGGTGGTGCTTGCCTGAAATCCCAATTACTGGGGAGGTTGAGGCATGAGAATTGCTTTAACCCAGGAGGCGGAGGTTGCAGTGAGCTGAGATTGCGCCACTGCACTCAAGCCTGGGCGATAGAGCAAAATTCAGTATCCAAAAAAAAAAGAGTAAACTCTACCCCCACATCTCTATTCTCCCTCCTTCCCCACCATCCGTTTCATATCACTGAAACGTAACACTCTGACATAAAGTACAAACGATATAGAAGATAAAATTTGATGCTGTTTATTTAGCCACGGACTCCATCCTGGTGCAGCTTAAGTCTATTTTCAGCACATAAGTGCTTCATGTTTAAAATTCAGGTTTCTTGCTAGATGGACTTCTGATTCATTCTCAAGTTCCATATTGAAATCACTGTCCCTAAAAATAACTGACATCCTTTCCTATTTGCTATTCATTTGGATTATGTCTTAAAAATCCTGTAATAAATATTCCTCTTCAGACCCTCTTTAATGCAAACCAGTTTACACAAACTATTACTTCAGCAGCTCACAGTAAAATTCCTACAATTTTCATTAAGTTGTAAAATTTAAGAAAAATATCCTAATTTTTAATTATTACCAATAATAAATATTGGCTACAATGCCAAAATATTTATTTTGTATTTCTGTAAGTTCTTACATGTCAAATGTAACATAGCCACACTAACCTTGGTTCAAGTAAGTAAGTGTTTCATCATGCAGTTTTACTGCTGGCGACGTTGCAGCACACATCACATACTGAAAGGGTGGATGCTCTGTTTCACCATCCAATGGAAGGCTGGAATCTTCCTGCTTGAAAATGGGCAATGCCAAGACATCACTGAAAAGCACAAAACCAACATTGACTTTACTTTGGGTTTGAAATATTTGTCTACAGCCGTTAACACCCAGAATGCACCCAATCTCATGTGAAATATTTAAAGGCATGTAAACATTTAGGTGTAGCTTCTTTTTTAAATTTACGTGGTTCATCTAAAGGATGGCATTAAAAACTCCTATCTCGGGGAGGGAAGTTGGGGAGGACTGTAGGGCAGCTCTGATGAAGTG